GTTATGCTGAGACCTCCACTCTTAAGAGTTCCCCTACCAGGATAGAGTGTCGTTAGGCTTCCTCTCGTTTAAGAGAGTCATCCTGCTGAAGCCTCCGCTCTCCTGAGCACCGCTTAGGCAGAAATATGGATTCGTAGGCTCTCCCCTTTTGAGCCTCTCTAACTGCCTCTGGCCTTGAGTGTAGCTAGGTCTCCTCTCACTTTAGGGAGTCGTTATGCTGAGACCTCCACTCATAGGCCCCTACCAGGGTTGAGCGTTGTTAGGCTTCCTCTCGTTTAAGAGAGTTACCTTGCTGAAGCCTCCGCTCCCCAGAGCTCCACTTAAGGCCGCACTGACGGCCTCTGGCGCCGAGTGTAGTCAGATCTCCTCTTGTTTAGAGAGGCATGATGCTGAGACCTCTGCTCTTAAGAGCTTCTAAACTAGGATTGAGTGTTGTTAGACTTCCTCTCATTTAAGAGAGTCATTCTGCTGAAGCCTCTGCTCTCCAGAGCTCCGCTTAGGCAGTATCTTTACTTCGTAGGGTCTTGGTGAGTCTTGGTGAGCCTCGCTAACGGTCTCCTCTCATTTAGAGGGTCGTCATACTGAGATCTCCACTCTTGGGAGTTTTTCTACTAGGGCTGAGAGTTGTTAGGCTTCCTCTCGCTTAAGAGAGTCATCCTGCTGAAGCCTCCGCTCTTCAGAACTCCGTCTTTGGCAGTAGTATGAGTTTATAGGCTCTTTTCTTTTGAGCCTCACTAACTGCCTCTGGCGTTGAGTGTAGCTAGGTCTCCTGTCACTTTAGACCGTCGTCATGTTGAGACCTCCACTCTTAAGAGTTCCCCTACCAGGATCGAGTGTCGCTAGGTTTCCTCTCATTTAAGAGAGTCATCCTGGTGAAGCCTCCGCTCTTTAGAACTCCGTCTTTGGCAGTAATATGAGTTTGTAGGCTCTTCCTTTTTTGAGCCTTACTAACTGCCTCTGGCCTTGAGTGTAGCTAGGTCTCCTCTCACTTTAGGGAGTCGTTATGCTGAGACCTCCACTCTTAAGAGTTCCCCTACCAGGATCGAGTGTCGCTAGGTTTCCTCTCATTTAAGAGAGTCATCCTGGTGAAGCCTCCGCTCTTTAGAACTCCGTCTTTGGCAGTAATATGAGTTTGTAGGCTCTTCCTTTTTTGAGCCTTACTAACTGCCTCTGGCCTTGAGTGTAGCTAGGTCTCCTCTCACTTTAGGGAGTCGTTATGCTGAGACCTCCACTCTTAAGAGTTCCCCTACCAGGATCGAGTGTCGTTAGGCTTCCTCTCATTTAAGAGAGTCATCCTG